AATTAAAAAAAAACAGTCGCTATTAATGTTTATGAAACTTAAGGTAATAATCCAAGCGAAATCATAATATTCAGATATATTTTAATTCATTAGAATATATTAGACTAATTGGACATTTGTGACATTAATTCATAAACCAATTAATTAATTTATTTATTTAATCAATTTATTAAAAAAATAATTAATTTATTTATTAATTCATCAATTTATCAATCTATTAATTTATTAATTAATTTATTTATTGATTTCTTTATTTAATTAATTAATAAGTGTATTGATTTATTAGTTTATTTATATATTGATTTATCAATATGTTAATTTAATTACTTATTTTTCTATTTATTTATATATTTATAATTAATTGAATGAATGAATGAATGAATGAATTTATTTATTTAGGATTAATTAATTAATTAACTAATAAATGAATTAATAATTAATTAATTGAGTTAATAAATAACTAATTAGACCGGCCCTATATCATTTTAAAAAGGTCGGAACCGAATATTAACAAGTAGAAAAACTTTTACTGTTAAACTTCCGATCCAATAAGTAAAACAAAACAAAAAAAAGATATAGATGAATTATCCCATAATGTTATTCTCCCATCACGCTCTAATGGGGTATTTCTCCAAGTTAGCCATCATGGGAGATTTCTCCCATTTTAATTTTGGGAGGTTTCCGCACCATTTTAATTTTGGGAGATTTCTCCCATTTACTAAATGGGTTAGTTCAGCCAATGGGAGAATTGCAAAATTCTTTAAATATATTCCTCGAATACTTATAAGTTTATTATAAGTATTATATATTCAACACATGTAAAAATATTTAGAAAAAAAAAATATTTTTCCTCCCATGGATTTATTCTCCCACTTTAAGAAATGGGGTTTCAACCCCACTAAAGTCCCAGTGGGATACGTAAAAACCCGTGGGAGTATTGAAAAACCCCATGGGAGGTCACACTTTGAACGCTCACACAGCGTTTAGTTATTGCGCTATCTTTGTGTAATCGGTCAATAATCGTCTATTTTTATCCAAATTACTGTTTGATTTAACTTTTTGTATTGAAACTATGTTAAAAAGGGTAGTTGAGTTTGCGAAAATTCCGGATTTGCAAACTTATTCCGGAGGCTGTTAAATACAGATAACAAAAGTCCAAATTAACATTTTAATAGTATACTTTATGCAAGAATATCTCTAATGCACCTTTCTGTGTGCATTGACATCTGCAGAAGCCATTTGATATATAAATTCTCATTCTTCTGTAGATGTTGTTGCACATTTTTGTGTTTTTACCCTCTATTACATTTTGGAACTATTGGAAGTAGTTGCAGATGATTAAAGAAATCGATCTTTACTACACTAGTTAACGTATTTTGCTAAATTCATTCACAAATCTTTTGGTTTGATAATTATACATTTACATGCAAAATCATGGATATTCTGAGCTATACAATGTTAAAGACGAACAACATTTGTGCTCAATATTGGAATATATTAAATTAGAAACGTACTGTTCCATTTTAACAATACTCTTATTCCTATATAGTTTAACGTTAAGTCAAATAAAATTTCAGTAATGCTTGTTTTTTACAGTCTGTTTTTACGCACAATAATCCAGATCTGCGTGAAATTCCCATATCGTCAGCATTTTCATCTGGTACCGCACGTGCATATGCTAAACTTTATGGCATCCTGGCTAACGGAGGTACAGAGGAGGGAAACAAACTCTTGTCAGATAAATCAATTAATAAATTAGCTACGCCCATAGTGTCAGGGGTCGACCTTGTTACCGGGCTATATACATCATACAGGGTAGGCATGCAGTTAAATAATCCAAACGTATGCCATTTTTCTTTTTTGTTTAGTGCAAAATATTTTTAGTTTTTAGTCAAATGAACCACTTTTGGATCTTAGCTTTGTATAAAAATGAATAATAAAAATTCATATATTTAAATCAAATTCTGATGACAAAACAATTTAAAATGTATACGAATCAGTTATGTCAAGAAACAAATAGGCCTGTAAACTGAAAGATAAATGCCTTTTAATATATCTTATAGATAGTTGTAAGATATACTATTACATTTTAGGGAGGTGTTGTTTTTGGACACCCGGGCCATGGAGGTCAGGTGGCCCAAGCAGATTTGGAGAATGGTATTGGACTAGCGTATCTTACAAATTATATAGACGTATACGCACAAGGTGATCATCCACGATATCTGGCGCTTGTGCAGGAATTTTATGTCTGTTTGGAGAACTACTTAAAGAACAAACAGTAAACACAATTATTGACACTGAAAAACAGTTGGAGTTTTAAGCAAAGTAGACGTGCTTAGCCAAGAAGTTAAACTTTTTTGTAAGAGAACTGATGTTCACTTAAGTTATATTGTGCTAATGTATCAAGTTTACATAATGGAAAATGATGAGAATGAAAGACTAGGGAACTATATGGTTAATGTATCAAGTTGTTTCAAAACAAAAAAAGCATGTTGATCTTGGCATTTTGTTGAAAAGGCAAATGAGAAAAGCAAAGCAAAAACAACTGTGGCAAAATAAAAAAAAACAGCTTTATGACAGCTGAAATGTATTATTCCGTATTTTGTTGGTGTATGTTTATATTTTCTAGTAGATTATTAAAAGCAAGTATATCTTTAAAAGATAAAAGATCCAGTAGCCTTGTTGTTAAGGTGTCTGTTTTAAACTCAATGATCATGGGTTTGAGTTCTACAGTGATCACGACACTGTTCTCCCATAATATAATAACACCTACCAGTTCCTAGTTAGATCGTCCGACTCGATGGTTTTGCTTGGGTGCAACATTGTGTCTGAAATCATGCACAAAGGGCACATCAGGTCTTCCTCCAACAGTAAGCTGGAAGGTCGCCATATTATATATACTGAAATGGTGTAACGTAAACGCCCCCACCCGCCGGAAAAAAGCAGATTTGAGAGTAGTTGAAATATTAAAATATGCTTCAAGCGACATCACAATTTAGATAATTTATAAAAATAAATATGTTTTAACGAAACAAGAGACTGTATAAACTTGCAGATAATGGATGAGCTCAACTTCGACATAACACTAAGTGCAATTTGCCTTAAACAAGTATTCCTTTACCATACAGAGGAATGCTTTTGTTTTCGTTAAGGGGAAAACTCTCAAAAGCTTAAATCTACTTAAAGGAAATGCAAATAAAATGAAATATTGGACGTTTTTGTCCGATATCCAATATTCATATGCTAAGAATTACATAGATGTTAACAGCATATTTTTCTCTGAACACTTTGAAAATTAAGGGAAACCTACTGAGCGAATAAGTCCATTAGGAATTTGTATGCAAATTTAAATTTCTCGGTTAAACATTGCTACTGAAATGCCATATGTAATGAGCTTGTATTATTGTTCGATCGTTTTTCTTTTCCGCATAAAGGAATAATGTAAATTTTGATTTCCAATGCTTATATGTATTTTAATGTTTCGTGAATGTTTACCATTCTTTGCAATGGGCCTTTAGAAATATTTAACATGTGAATTGCCTAATTATGACAATTCCTTTTTACCCGAGAAACATTGTTGGATAAACGGATAAAAAATAATTAAATTATATAATATAAGAGTGCTGAAACATGACGCTTAGGTTTATTAAAGGTTAAATAAATTAAGGATGCAAATTCAGGAAGTGAACCAGTTGTTTGAATTTAAGGAACAAAGTTGAAAATTTGGAACGTTAGTTGAACAGTCATTGATAAAATTATCAAGGTCATCTTTTTATTTAATATTCAAAACTGTATTTAGGGTTAAAGCATAAAGGTTAAGTTCAAGTTCACAGTATATCTCTGAAGTTTGAAAAATACAGCAGTAGTTTCATCATCGCGTTCCTTCTATTCTGGAATAAAATGTACATAATATTCATATACAATAAATAAAGCATATATTTTAAAGGTGAATAAAACGTCTTAGCTATATATATTATACAATTAATATATAATAAGTAGAGTGTTAAATGATCAAGGGGCATGCCAAATTTGACCCAGGCGCGCAATTTGAACATTACCGAAATAACGCTTTCAATTTAATGTATTGGATGCCTAATGCAGCATCTCCTTTCTGAAAAGTATCCATTTTCAGTGAGGAGACAGAGTTTCGATAGGGCATGGGTTCAAACCCCATTTTTAGGATGCATTTTTTTTTTACATTTTTTGTCTCTTTTCTTGTTTTGTCAGATTATTATTTTCTTTCTTAATTTATATCTAAAATTTGTAATAAAAAAGATTCATGCATAATGTTTACTGTGAAATATATGAAATTGGATAGCATAATGAATTAAAATGATTTTAATTTAAAATCAACATGGTAAACCTTCTTTATATTTTGCACAAATATTAAGAACAAATTCTAGATAGTTATTATCAAAACATATTAGATACCCTGATTTGATTTGACAAAATCTGACTGTTTTTCTTACCCCACATCTTCTTATCAATGTAAATTGACAGGTACCTGTCTCGATAAACAAAAAAATCTTTTCATATATATATTTTACATTGATTTATTTGAAGTTATTTAAAACTACAGTTCTTTATAATCACTTTTCAAGTAAGGATAATATTAAATAAGTGAAACTTTTGTACAGATAATGAAAATATAATTGTTGTTGTGTTGTTGTTTATAACCGATACAAAAGTTTAACTGTCAAAATGTTTCAAACAAAATGGTAATCTTTTGTATTCTTTTGTATTTATGTCTAGCATATAGTAAAGATTAATAATATAAAGTTTAAACGCCTTTTGAAAAAGTGTCATTTATATATTTAATCTTATGTTATATTAAGCTTTTTATATTCATGGTGTTTGAAGAGATGATCAAATCTTAATGTCTAGTCAGAAACTGATTAGGAAAGAATTATTATTTCGTATTAAGACATTCGAACAATATCGATAACCGAGAACAGGACCATTCGTTTATGACAAATTTTTAACCCACAGGTGATATGATATGCTTTCCGGTGCCAAAACAATCAAAATTTTGAAAATTAATGTAATTCACTATTACAAGTATTCTTAGAAACAAACATCCTTGAATATGGAGACAATACAATTTGCAATTCATTTAGAGCAAACGGGTTGAGTTCACAAATAAACTAATTGACAATAAATGATAAACATTTAGAATGCATAAATGCTCCTTTTTTCATTATGAAATGAAGCAGCAGCCTGGCCGATGGTCTATTAAGTCATTATTTATTGATTTTCTTTATGTCGACGACGGAAAGGATAATCATTTAAGTTATACTTTTTATATATGGTGAGACATTTAACAGAGTACACCACGTATGTTTTTTCACAAAATAAGTAACAGTTTTCTGGATATTAAACTGGTGGTGATGTTGGTAATTTTCACTACGGATCATGGCAGCAAGCCACATTGAATTTACAAGAGCACAGTTCAGCCGCCGTATCGTTACTTGACAGGTTGTCTATCAGTTTACCAGTACTAGTTGACAGGAACTGATAACTTCTGTACATGCCAGAGCAGAGGTATAGTGCAAATGACTGTAGAAAAGATTTTATGATCAATTATACTGAAAGTGACCCGCACCGTCCGAAATGACATCAAGATCACCCGATTCACAATCCAATGCTTTACCTTTTGAGCTTATCGGAAGTTGTGGAAATTAACTGAAACTGAAAAGAAAAAATATATACAATACGGAATGAGTACATTTCAAATATCTAATCTTTAAAAAAAATATATACATTAAGCATTAAGAATGAAAAATTATTTTTGTTTGAAATTTAGAACTTGATGCATTGATAGTCCGACAAGAAATAAAACGTATCATTTCCACACAAAACATTACAAATTCCTCCACGAAGTCTTATCTGCTCTGAAATGATCTTTAAATCCTTATCATGTAAAATGTATTCATTTTAAAGAATCTTTGTAAAAACAAAGATAATGATAAAATCAACTGATGGAGTTCGTTCAGAACTTCTCTGATAAAGGCTGATAAAGGTAATCGGATTGATTGAAAGTCCATGTTCTTACATTACATGAAGTGCGTATGTTTTAAATGTAAACAACATGAGAAATAGGCCACTTCTGGTTGCATTAATTCTAGAAGCGTTTATTTAATGTCGGCATTGTTTGTATAACTTCTAATACATAGAAGAAATGGCAATTCATTTAAGGGCTTATATTATACGTTTCATTTTGTTTGTATATGCACTAAAAGCTGTGCATTGTATTGTTGATGGTGATATACACGATAAATCGCCATCGGATCGCATAGATGATCTGTTTACTGAAATAAGGTAAGTGCAATTTTATTTCAGATTTTAAGATATGCTATGCTCAAAATTGATATCAGAATATATTTATAATCACTATATAGTCTCTAACATTTGATATTAGAAATAATGTATTATGAAATTATGTACTAGTATACCATTGAATATGATGTGATATTAATCGGCAGATGAAATATTGACCGAGGCGGTAAATATCACATTATATTCAATGGCTCACTAGTCAATAATTGTTTTATTATTATAATTATGCTTTAAATACAAATCAGATAGCTTCGTGTTTCGATGCTCTTTCTATTACATTGTTTGGAATATGATTTCATTACACACATTATCGACAAATGTAAAACTAATGGTCTAAATGAAATAAACCTAATGAATTCTCTCCCTAAAGTTCCTTGTAAAGACATTGCATTTTCACTTATTTGTATGCATATATTATAATTATATATCCATTTTTACATCAGGACGTTTCAAAACACAGTTGAAACAAAGCTGAAAGAACTTAGTGACAAGGGCTGCCAGCAATGCCTTATAAGATTACTCGACCCTAACATAGAAGAAAACACAAATTTGACGGATTATCCGAAGGAAATAAGAGACGAAAACGCGACTGTAAATGAAGATAATGGAACACATATGGATGTATATTCGCAAGATATCTTCCAACGTTTGCATCGTCTTTATGATATAGAACAGTCTGTCTTAGAGAAAGTTGACGCTACACTTGGTACGACTTATTTTTCATATGATCATAAAAAGTCACTCGCTTGAATGAGTAATAACAATTTAATATCCATTTCTAAAATATTTTAAAAAAGGAGAAGAAAAAAAATATTACTAATGGAAATGTTAAAAATTGAAATATGGCATATTATTGACATCTTATCTTGATTTGAACAAGATGATGTGGGTTTAACTTTTTAAATCCCTTTTGATTAAAAGGATGTGTACAATGAACCAAAAGTCGAAAAGGTTCATTTGTTGAGGTATTAAATCATAATTTGTTGATGCATATTCTTGCAATATTTTTTAGTTTAAACATAATTTATTGCAGCACTAAAAGTATAGAATATTATACATTTCAGGTGATAAGTTTATAACAAAAAGCAAATGTATCGGGCAATTATCTCTAAGAACATTAGATTAAGTCTTTCTAAGTATAATGTTTGGACTTTTCTATAAGTTTGAATATTTAATAAAGTTCAGTGTAATAGAAACATTGATAATTGTGAAATGGAAACAATTCAATATATGGAAATAGTCTCCGCCCGTACATCCGTCCGTCCGCTCTCACGGGACAGTTATACTGTGGCTAGAGGGACAATAGGTTATTGTTCATTCTCTTTGATGTCATTTATTCCGTAATACTTTTATGTGTTTTTTCTTTTGTGTTGCTAAAAAGACCAATAGATAGAACAATAGAGTAGCCTCATTATTACTGTCCCGTTAGAACGGACGTCTGACCATCTGTCCGTCCATCTGTCGGATCGATCTTCCGTCCCACATTTTCCCTTTGTTGAGCGTAATTGAAAATATATTTAAGATATTAACTTGAGACACTTTAATGTTGTTGTTGCTATAGCTAATTGTCCCCTTTTTAATGTTGTCCACCGCATATCTCGAAAAGTATTTGTAATATAAGCTTGAAACTTGAATTGTGGATATTAATTCGGTGGAGTTTAGTGTGCAAGAATGATAATTCTACCTTTAATAATATTTTCGCTCTTGCTTAATGTGTTTTCCATGTTTTTGTTATTTTTCGTGTTTATTTTTTAATATAAGTCGAAAAGTTTATGAAATATCAATTTGAAGCGTTTCAGATGAAAAGATCTTAGTTAGGAGGAGTGCAATGTACAGGCACGATAACTCTACCCATTATAATCTTTGAGTTAAGTCTCTTTGTTTTTTATGCTTAGTTTTGTTTGAAACAAAAACTATTTGATACTTCATGATGGATAGATCTTTTGAAGTAGGAGTACCAATGTACAAGAATGATAACTCTCCTGTTAATTATTGTGAGGTGATTGCGCTTTGTTAATATATTTTTTATGATTATTTTTGTCTAAAACCATCATTCGAAAAATGTTTGGAAAATCAGCTCCAGACTTTATAGATGAATAGATCGGTTTCGGGAGGAGTGTATTGCTCATGTTTAATAACTCTTCATTTCATTCCCTTAAAGCTACTGCTGCAATAATAGCTCACAGTAAGAAGGAATACAGTTGAGAAGAATAACAAATAATTTGCAATTTTCATTACTTTTTTGTCCAGACTATATCTCAAAAGTAAAAGATATCAGCTTGAAATGTCTTGGGTGAATCGCTCTGGCAACCAACTTTCTACTGTTTGTGTCATTGTATTTTGGTGTGTAAACATGTAAATGTCACTGTATACAATGAACTATGTAGTTCCTTTTTGTCCTGCACAGAAATATAAGCTAACAATCAATTTCTGTGTCTCCTGTTTCAGCATCTCAAAGACTGATTGATATAAAAGGGGTAAAAGGGGAGCCGGGATCTGAAGGATTCCCTGGAAAACCAGGACCAGGTGGATATGATGGATTTCCAGGACCACCAGTATGTCATTTGAATAGTAAAATAATCAAATAGTTTCAGAATATCAACAAATCAAATACAGCTAAGTAAAACTTTTCTACACTAAAGTTTTAGTGAAAGTTACGGTACATATGGAACAACAAGAATTTATATATACCTAAATTTCGAATCTCTATCATAGCTACCATATATAATTAAGGAGTCAGTATCATATAAAAAAAGATAAATTTACAAATATGTGTAAAGTTACAATTGTGTATTTTATAAGTTTAAATATGAAGATCTAATTTGTAAGTTGTACTATGAGGCGAAAATACTTCAATGAAGAACATATGGAATCTTAGGGAAATGCGCGATGAATGACACATGTTTTAAATGTATTTTTTTCCTATACATAATATCTATAACTCATTCTTTAGAATGAATTATAACAATTTGGACAACAATTTAAATCTGTATTTTTAGCATATTTTCATAGAAAATTAAAAATGGACCTTAGCCCTAATAATTCATGTGTTTAAGACAATTGCTGTGTCAGATTATATTCAAATGTAGACATATGAAAAGAAAGATCAATTTTAAAATTCTCATTTGACGAAAGATTTACCAACCTCTAGTTGGTGTCCCCCTTTTCTTACGACCAGCCCTGTTAGGTAATTTGAGGTTCTCCCAAATAGTCAGACAAACCCCATTGATAAATAAAAAATGATAAATAGTGCAAAGAATGCATCTGTTATTTTCACAATGTTCTATTGTTTATCAACTAGGGTTTTCCTGGAGTAGAAGGAGATCAAGGAAACCCCGGCATGCCTGGTCCTCGTGGTCCAAAAGGAGAACGTGGAGATCCCAAACTCAGTCTCCTTGAATTCAAATGGAAAAAGTAAAACTTCACTTTACCCCCGAGCCTCCAACAGAAAAATATATGTATATGGCTTAAGGTTTGGATGAATTTGGAATATCTTCATGACTGATTGATTATATCATATTTGGAGTAACTGGAGTCAGTGACTTAGTGAAACATGCTTCTAGAAATGATCCATTGCTTTAATCAAATTTTATCATTTCTATAATATGTTGCCTTTGTATTGTAGTTGCTACACTATTCGTTATTGTAGGTTGGTAATAGAAAATGTTGGTGCATCAATTATTGTATCGTCCATAGCAATAAAGCCAAATTTACAGAAAATCTTTCTTAATCCACAAGAAGAGAATTAACGCTCGTAATTAACGTTTTGCAATTAAACAATCATTAATCAATGCTTTAACTTCTTGCATGGTAACTTACAACAACAAACATTCGGTACAAGTTGCGTAACAAAGCTACACATGAAGTGTTTTAAAAACACAATATTAAAAGTGTTTATGTGTCATTAGATCGATTTTATCTAAAAATATTTTTTTTCTGCCGAAAAACATGCAATACTTTTTGTGCCAAGCTTTGAACCTGCCTTACCTTAAAGGGTAAAAAGCTATATCTTATTACTTTTTTTATAAAATTTATCAATAGCAGTATATTGGTTTCATAGACCTTCGACTTTCGTTAGGGTTATAATATAAAATGCTTCTGTTATGATATTCTACGTATACAGAATAAAATGTTCCGGAAAAAAATATTATTTTGGTACGCAATATTTATTTCATGTTAAATTCAAATGTAATTGTTGCTGCAGATATGTAATTTAAATTAATGTATGGTATATGTCCGACATGTTGTTCGGTACTTTTCTGTCTCCATTTCCAACCAATGAGTCACTTCAGTAAATATAAAAAGCAGTTTGCTTCTAGTAGGTAACAGAACATCAATTGTAGATCTAATATTTCAAAAAAAAATATATTCTAAAACATTAAAAAGTTAAAAGGTAATAGAAATGCCACTTTTACACTTTCTCATTGTGAATTTTTATTTTTAAACTTATTGTTCTGTTTTAATTTCTTTAAAGGATCACACCTTAAAGTTTTCAGAAGTGATAGGTGGGAGGGCCAAAAATAATGTCCAAAGAGAATTTGGCCCAACCCTTTTGTATATTGTGTTATTATGTATGTTGATGTTAAAGATTTGATATTTATTTAAATAATTATGCAATAAATAATATTAACCATTTGTAAAACCTCTGCACAATACTACTTGCGGCTGGTACAAGCGCGGAATGTTATTTCAATTGTTATTCCTTGTTCTAAAAGGAGGACTATAATGGCCCTGAAATTGCTCAACTGAATATAAAACTCTCCATGACAAGGAACAAGTAATATTGTAAACTATAAACAAAAGCAGATATAAATTAATCTTAATCTAAAACTGATATCACAAAGTTCATATTTGTAGCTGAAGCAGTGCATGTGTACGAACATTATTGGTTATTATTGCGAAGGGAAAACAAGTTCTAAAAGATGAGAACATATAAGAAAAATCAATGACCCCAATGGGGTAGGGCCAATTTTTACCCGAGAGCTTTTATTTGAACAAACTTGGCACACACTCACTAGAAAATGTATCATGCTAAATACCTTAGCTCTACCTCTTTGTGTTTTTACTGATGAGTTTTTTTACTCAGTGTTTACTATATACGTATTAGGAAAATAAATAACCCCATTGGTCGGGGGCAATTTTGACTGCAAGGCTTTTACTTAAAAAAACTTAGACACCAACAAGAAGAAGATTTTTCTTTCTAAGTATCTCTCCCTTAGCTATTTGGATTTTTTTAAAAGAAGATGTTTTTGAAGTTTTTACTATGTACATTTAATAAAATCAATATTGGACTGCCAATGGCGCAGCCAATTTTGACTCCAGTGCTTTTATTTGTACAAAGATGGTAGACACCAACTAGACAATGTTTCATGCTAAATATCTGAGATGTAGCTCTTTGGTCTTTTAAAAAAAGTTTTTTTGTTGTTTTTATTATATTTGTACATACATATCAGGAAAACCAATGACCACCTTAGGCGGGGCAAATTTTGACTCAAAGACTTTTATTCGAACAATCTTGGTAGACACCTATAAAATATTTTTCAGGCTTTGTTTCAAACCCCAAGCGTTTTGGCATTTAAAGTTTACAGAAGCTTTATGAAAGTTTTTAATATAAACAAAGATATATATCAATATATATAAAGAAAATCAATGACCGCCCATGCCGCGGCTAATTTTACTCCATGGCTTTTATCTGAACACACTTTGTAGACAATCACTAAAGGATGTTTCGTGCTTTTATTTGAATAAACTTGGTAGAAACTCACTAGAAAATGTTTTATGTCTAATATCTAAGGTCTATGTCTTCGTTTTTTAAAGAAGATATTTGAAGTTTTTTTTTATCTTTTCATGTATGACAGATCTGCATTGAATTGAATTATTTTTCAACCTTATTTAACGTTGACCACAAAAGGAATATTTCTGCGGGTTTTGATGAAATTGGCTTTGTTGTTCATAAGAGATTTCGTATAAAGTAAAAGTTTACGGACACATGCCGAACGTAAAGCCACCACAAAAGCTCGCCATGTCATTTTGTGACGGGTGAGCTAAAATGGCACAATTTTGGTAAAAATCAAATACTTTTTGCATTTGTTTTACATCGCAACCAATATAGTAAATATAATATTGCGGCTTCCCAGCTTTGGCGTTGGAGAAAGAACTTAGGTGCTCAAACGCTCAAAACGTTAATACCTTAAATCATTAATACTATACATTGAATTATATTTTTTTCTTAAAAGTGAATACTCTAAGGCTTCATACTATTAGGTTACCTTTTGTAAATAAAACTAGGTGAATACTTATTAGATTATATTATTGTACAATGCAGATGTTCAAAGGTCAAATGAATAAGTGGAATAAACAGTCAAACCTTATTGAAATTATACAGCCTTTATAACAAGCTATAAACAGAATAGAATAATACCCAGCGACGTCAACGTTGTAACAATGTTGAATTATGGCCAGATTTCAACGTTGAAATAATTTTGGATTAATATTCGGATTTGAAAGATGAAACAACGTTGAAAGTTCAACGTTGATACAACGTTGCACATTTAACGTTTGCACAATGTTGAAGTTTCAATGTCATTTCAAATTTGAAAACCAACCATACTTTAATTTTTAGATATAAAACAAGTATCAAAGTTTAACAAAACAATCAAGACAATATTAAATACTTCAGATAGTTCAAAAATACTGTTCAAGTGCAGCTTTAATTTAAACGATCAAAGAAGTCCGTATAATTTAACAATGAAGCTACAATCTGTACCAAACTGCTACTTCTTCCAGATCTTTCTCTGTATATCTTAAGTGTTTCATGATGGTGTTTTAATACTTCTGTGACTGTCTCTTACTACTTCTGCAAATAAAATAATAAGTGACCAATTAAAAGTGACTTAATCAATCTCAAACTTTACTCAGTGATTCATTTTATCTAAAGACGGTTCTGTTTAAGATTTACATAATATAACAGTATAAAAATTGAGATACAGCTGAAGTTTCATATTGACAGCAAATTATGTTCATAAAACAACAAAAACTTAAAAAACAGCTATTTATAAGACATGTTGTTTGATATTTTACCATAGAGAAAATTCAGAAAGTGCCATGGCTCTAAAACATCAAATATTAAACAAGAATTAGCTAGAGAATGTTTAATGTTTGAGAACTAAATGTCTCATACGATCTAGTGAAGAGAAAAAAGTAATGAAAAGCTGGATCTATTGGTGTCTATAGGGGGTGTGTAGTACTTAAACACACATATCAAACAACATGTCTTACAAAGTGGACTCTCATTTTAAGTTGTTAGTATAATTTCCATTCTTAAAATAAGGCATTAGCCTGTCCGAAATGTATTATAGAGACACATTTGCTGCTGAAATGTATTGCAGACACAAACTTTGTGCTGACATGTATTACAGACACAAGTTTGCTGCTGAAATTAATTATAGACAAAGTCCTACTTTAGAAATGTATTAAATACACACATTTTGCTGCAGAAATATTTTTTAGACAAACTCCCGCTGCTGAAATTTATTATAGACACATATGTGCTGCTGAAATGTATTATAGATACAAACTTGCTTATAAAGTGTATTATAGATTAAATATGTATACCATTCAAACAATCATTTGTATTTTTGAATTACAATATTAGTGTTATGGCTATACATTTAGACTCTAATGTACGTTCTTTACTTAATATCATATTAAATTTTGCTAAATGTAACCTTTCGGCTTATGATTTTATGTCATTAAGACGTATTTACCCTCTATGATTAAAAAGTATTTTTTCAAGACACGAATCAAAATTCGCAACAATGATATAACTTTATAAAAAAATGCATTGTTAACTTTAATTGATCTACTTGGATGGAAAACATTCAAGTATCTCCATTAATTTGATTAAAATCAGCTCTAAATATAGCTCCGCTTTTAGATCTGAGCGTGACCCATTACGAAATTATTTCTGGCTGTGACTACTAACAAAGCCAATCATCAGCGAGCTTTCACAATTTTGAAAAGAAATGAGGTTTCTAATTTTAAACCTGAGAAAACCAATACTGAGTAAGTTATTTTCACAATTTCGAGAACAAACATGACGTTGTCCATATAGCCGGCAGGTTAACTGGCAAAACAATCTTACCAATTAAACGTTGTGTCTGTTTTTTGTAATTTGTTAAAATTAACTTCAAACATTTTTTTACTGACAGAAATCAACAAGTTGTTTAACTTTCACGTATAGCGGTAGTTTGATACTTCACAGAAGACGCTGAATTTGTTTTGGTCTCACAATGTCAGAAAGGTGTAGGTTGTGAGATTATATACCAATTTGTTTTTGTATAGTGTCACCAATGCTGTTTCCTGTGTTATAACTGTAGGAAATTAGCTATAAGACTAATTGCAACACTGATATTCAATTCAATGTTTATTTAGCTTAAATAATCTAAAAAAAAGAAAGAAAAAAACCCCCCAAAACATGGGTTGCTTTAACTGGGATTAGAACTCCAGACCTCTCGCTTCTTAAGCAATCGTGTAAACCCCTCGATCAACGGGTAAGTTTTAAGATAATAGTTTGAAGAAAAATACATTATTCTAAATTAGGGTTTGTAACCCTTATTACTTTCGATATATTTTGATCAAGGTAAACTTGTTTTTTAACGCTGATAAATAATCACGTAGCTTAATATAAGCTAGTATATCTATAAAGAGTAACACAATATTAGGAATCTTCATCAAAGCGGGAACTATTTTTTCTTCCCCGATAAAGTTTGAAAATAATCCGCCTGTCATTTGACAATCTTTACGCAGTGAGCTCCCTTTAAATTTTTCGGCGTATGCGTACATTTAAAGGGAAGTAACCGCTTCGAGGAGTTTGGACTACTTTCGGTTTTTGCAAATAAGCACATCAGGGTCTGAAATTTCGCTACCATTTTTTGTTTGGTCAGACGACCCAAACAATTAAAAACCGGTTTTGAATCCATTGCTAAAAATAGCTTTCTCGGGAAATCCCAATTATAAATAAGGCGAAACATATACGGTCGTTATCAGATCTACTTAAAAGAATTAAATACATCTGAACTTTAGTCAGATTGGTAGGTCAATAATATATGCCCAACATTAAACTAGGCAAAAAATAGAAAAAAAAAGTAATAAAGATTTATCCTGCAAATTTATATTCTGAGTATTACCAAGTTTTGTTAAGAAAATCGTCTGATTGTAGATTATCATCACAACGTTG